TGGATTCATCGAGGGAAATTCTACATCAATGATGGTGATTATGGATTCCTTGTTCAGAGATGTAAAATATTTGTACAGAAGACAAGCAAGATCAAACTTTCTTTGAACCTTATTACCATGTCCAACAATCTTGGTAATTCTCTTCCAAGACCACACTTCCTTTTGAGGTCGTGCGTTACTGGAATAGTAGTTTCTTAATCTCTCACGCTTAGTTCGGATAATGATTTGTGGATCGTCAGATGGATGCATGGGTGCGAACTTGATGTAGTAGCGTCAATAAGGAGAGATTGGTAAGTCAATTTGATTAGCATCATGTGTTATATCGAATTACATAAAGGGCACAAAGTGTATGTCATGTAGAATCTCTTCTCGGAAGAGAGGAGAAATGATCAACATCGGATTTGGATTGTCTTTGAGTGCTTGAATCCGGATGCTTTCTTCTAGTGCTTACTGTAATTGTTATTTTGACCAGCCCTCAAACTTTTTCAACAACTTCAGTGGGCTGTCCAAACCAGTAGCTAATTTTTTTTTGCCTTTTTCTATTGATTGATAGGCTTGATAGGAGATGGAGGAGATGATTTGTTATCCGGATGGAGTAATGAATAACTCATGTAGAGGACGAAGCAATGACTCTTAAGGGATTTCATTAGGTTTCTTGATAGGAGAACCTACATCGATTTGGACAATCCTTGAGGCAGGAATTGGAAGAGGCATTGGTTGAGTGGCTCGAAAGGCATCAATGGTGAGCTTGGTTTTTTCATTCGCCATGTCTCGGCCCCGTTTGAATGCTTCAAAAAAAGATGATGGCTAAGAAATTGAGTACCATTTAATATTATTTGCTTCCGAAAGGACTTTGGTAGGTTGTTCCCTGATAGCTTGAAGCCTAAGAACCACATCATCCACAAAATCATCTTCATCATCATCAGCTTCAGAAGTCTTTAAGTCCTTAATTTCTTTATCTGAATCTTCATCTCGGAGAGCAAATTCCGAAATTGATCTCCATTGAACTAATTGTTGTGATTCTCTCTGTTGTTCTCCCCCTCTTGCATGGTATGGCTCTGCCTTCAATGCAAGTAATGGATCGGACTTGAGCTCACTTAAACATCCAAATACATGTTGAAAGCTCATATTGATTTGCCTAGAAAGCAAATCATAAGTTTGGTAGTTGGAGCTTGAGCTTTTAGGTGAGCAAAGGTTTCGTCGAGAATGAGAAGCATTTCATCAAACTTGTAGTTCAGAACATCTAGATGATATTGAGTTGCACAGATGACCTTGATAAGTACTTCTTTCATGACCAGATTCATGGCATCTTTGTGACGAATCTCTTTATCTAGTCTCTGAATTTGTTTCTTACGACTAATGTGAGTTTTCTTGATCAGGGTGTTTCTGGCAAAGAGCATATCATCATGAGATTTGATTATAGTGTTGACGGTAGTGATGTGATGATCGATGTTGTCCTTGTAACGTGCTTCGGCATCTTCTAGAGTACGACTCAGGCGAAGCGAGATAAGTTGGCCCAGTTGATTAGCACGATCAAGTTTGGATGGAGCGGCAACCTTGATCTTGGAAAGAGATTTGAGTACCAGGTCAAGTTTTGACTCAGGATCTGCTACTTGCTTAGTGACCTTGTCAACCTTCGAGTTAACTATATCAACGTTGTCTCGGAGTTCCAACAAGGCAAACGAATCCACAATATTCTCCTCGGAGGATCATGTGTCCGAAGTGGAACTTTCGGACTTGTGATCATCATCATCTTTGCTCTTGTCGTCATCATGTGGAGTTTATTGAGTAGGAGAGTCATGATGACCTTCTAATGTGTTTTCTGGAGGAGGAGGAACAACTTCATTTTTCTCAAGTTCAACATTTTCATCCGAAGCTTCCGAGGACGAAGAGAATCTGAAATGAAAATGATCTTTGCGGAGTTGTGTTGTCATCTTCAAAGAGGATTTATTCTGAGGCTTCATCATCGACAACTGGAGAAGAAATATCTGCAACACTCACAAACTTTGGAGGAGGATCATCCGAGATATTGGTTGACTCAGGAACATCTCCTTTGGGAGCAACATTGTCTTGAGGAAGATCATTTACCGTATTGTCAGGTACATGAACTTCTGAACTTTGTATGACCTTGATTGAATTGATGGAAGGCTGAATCTCTTGGTGAATTTTTTCATTAGATGGATACACAAAAGGGATATGGTTGCTGATTGCTTGTAGGCGCATTGAAATGATCGTGTATTCTACTTGTTCTCATGATAGCTCCAGATGCAGTGTGTGAGCCCTGTTAATAAAATCTACCCAATATTTGTCGAATATGCCTGATCTTCCTCTATATGAACCACGTATCAGACCGGTTGCGGATTTCGAAATAGGAGGGACTGCTCCTATCTCAGAAAGCTCGGAATCAATGACAAGGGCTATTGATTGTGCTTGTGCAGAAGAAACGGGAAAATTCAAGTTGACTCGTGAGTGTATCCTACGGGGCTCCAGGGGAATGTTTTCAATACCAACACCACTTTTTTAGGAAGATTGGGGTAGATTATGTGTAGACTCCCCGTGTCTATGTGTAGTTTGTGATTTTGAAACTCCGAATGGTACTTTGGAAGAGTGGTTGGGTGGGGTAGGCTGAGAACCAGGGTCAGGTCGAATGCCGATTTGTGAATCCTTCTGAGAGGATTCACCAGCTTTCGTTCTGTTTATGGATTTGACTTTAGAAGGGGATGCCTTTCGCTTGGCAATATGTTTCACTCTACCTTTAGATATGGCTGGTCTATTCTTTTCCGAGGTTGTTTCATCTAAGATCGGGGCAGGTTGTGTTGGGTTGAACACAACCGAGGTCTCAAGATGGTGTTTGAGATGTGGTGAGTCGGAAGGAATACTGCTTAACTTATGCTGAGGAAAACATATTATAGGTCCGAAAGCAGTTTGACATGGCAACCTATATGTTTTCATTGTTTTGAAAGAGCAATATACCTCTCGGATGTATGAGTTGAGTGGAATTGCTTGATGTATCTCGGAGTACAGCTGTTGTAGAGTCAGAGCCTAGAATCTCAGACTCAGAATCTCATTCGGTTTACTCTTAACAATTTTGAAAGACCAATCCTATGGATGATCTATCGGGTGCCTCCAATAAATGTTTGAATCGCCCTACTGAAACCGATGATGTTCCCAATGTTTTGGATGATCCATTGGATGATGCTTCCAAGAAACCGAGTGTATATTTCCTATGTTCATCAGATACTCAGATGATCCTCCTCAGAAAAATGTTGATGGCACTACTAGAAAAACAGCCTTTTACGACGCGCAATGCACGTCGTAAAACGCTCAGACAACGCGCAAATGTGTGTCAAGGAAGGCCCTGTCATAACGAGAGACGACGCGCTTTTGCGTGTCGTCTATTTACGATGCGCATTTACCACGCGCTCTTACGACATGCAATGCGTGTCAAGGAAGGCCCTGTCATAAAGAAGACGACACGCATTTGCATGTCGTAACCTTACGACGCACATTTACGACTCGCATTGCGTATCATTAAAGCCCCTGTCATAAAGAAAGACGACACACATTTTTGTGTGTCATAAAGTTAAATGTTTTAAAAATTATATATTTTGATAGATTTACTAGTTTTCAAATTAAATAACACATTAAAAAACTCATAATACAAAATAAAATACCATAAATAACAAAGATAATTCATTTCAGTAATATGTCAAATACAAATAATTATTCCAATAGTGAGTAAATGTTATAAAAAAATGAACTCAAGAGAAGTAGAATTTATATACAATTGCATTATCTAGCTTACCATGTGCCAACAAATCTCTCTGCGTTTGCTTTTTCTTGAGTCTCGTTTCCTCCAAAGCTTCTAGCCATGCCAAAGTATGATATCTTAGGGTTCATGTCCAAATCAAGGAAAACATTGCTAACTTAAATTCATCAAGTCCTTGGCGTGAAGTCTTAGATAGAAGCATAATTGCAATCTCCAATCCTTCTAGGAGACCCTAAAGATCATTATTGGCCACATAGCAGGATCAACCTGACAAAATTGGATAAGTTAAGAATATGCAACAAGATTGGTGAAAAGACATAAATGCCCCTACCTTGTATTCAACAGTAGCAACAACAAGAAGATTTCCTTCCTTGTTGAACCTCAACCGTGGAAAAATATGTAATAATCATTTAAATATGATATATTTGATATAATAAAATATTGTGGAAATGTGTGTTATGTTGGCAATGAAGCTCCTTCTGTTGGTCGTATTTATTCCAGCCAAATTCGGTGAAACACGAATGATTTCCCTCAGTATAGGTATGGCCTAACATCATTACCAACAACCACAAAAAAATATATAAACACAACCAACAGAGACTGACTATGAATGTTACAACTATGCATTCATTAAACATATATACATATATATATATATATATATATATATATATATATATATATATATATATATATATATATATATATATACTAATATATATACTAATAGTAGGACTATGAATCAAGACTAACAAGAAAGTCTAGATGATGGTATACCTTTCTTTTTCTTCTCATTCCATATGTCATTTCAGCCAATAATTCTTCAAAGTTTGCTCCAGGGAAATCCTCTTGTCTCATGTAATAATAATAATAATAATAATAATAATAATAATAATAATAATAATAATAATAAATGAGGAATTACCAATTAATTGAGGAGATTCTGGTCTGAAAGGATTGGATAACATAGAAAGCTTGACATGTTCAAGAAAGGATATTCGAACCTCAACAACTCTATCAGTCAGCCTCCTTAAAAACTCCAAAAGGATTGGCTGAACTATCTCAGGAATCATGGATCCTGGGATATAGATACAGTGGGTTCAGGGAGTAGATACAATGGCTTGCTTCTTCCTCATTACCTGAATAGAAATCAAACCACTCGATTTAAGTTTATGTTGATTTTTTAGTTCAAAAGGTAAAGGTGTTTGATGCTAAAAAAAATAAAGTCAAACTATCTGTTGCTCTTGATCATCAGCTTGATATTTTGCAGCTCTTCATCACTAAATCTGTTCCCATATAAGAATTTTGCCTGCATCCACAGTAACCACAAGGGAAATGATCTTTATAGGTGATCATTAACTAGAACTAATTATAATCGATAATCTCTCTGATCATCTTTAAACAAGGTTAAATGCTTCTTTATGCAAGATGGAGATATTTCACCTTTTTTTCACAATATATGCAACAAAGTGGTTTTATAAAGGTGATACATTCTTTTATTAACATTTTTGTAATGAAAATGGAAATGAAACAGGGGCATGCCTGCTTAAAGATGGTGCTTGTTCCAGAACCCTCGAGTCCAAGTAATAAAAGCTTTTGAATCTTTTGGGGCTCAAAGTAATTTGGAACAGTTGTGTAATTGCTGGCTTCATCTCTTTTTATTTGTGGCTGACCTTGTGGCATTGGAAACGAGAACAACATATGTAAATATCATACATTACATAATAACAAAAAACCATTTTATCCACCATACGTTTTTTTACAACATATGTAAATATCATACATTACATAATAATAATAGTTAATAGATAATATATAATAATACAATATATACCTTTTCCTAAATATTTCCCTTGATATTTTTCTGACCTTCTTCCTCATAACGCCCATCATCATAAACCCCAAAAATGTGTGTCTTGAGGACATTGCACACTTGCCATCTGAAACAAATCAATACAACAAATGTCAAATAAATTTCCATATTACTCACCAAACAACTGTAACAAAAATACTATCTAACCTACCTTCAGCACTTTCAGCTCAAATTTTGTGATTTCTCTTCCATTCATGTAAACTGTCGGACTAAGTTTCCCAGTGAGAAGAAAATTTGAGAGTACAATGCTGTAATAGAAAACAAAAAATGAAAGGTTGAGGATGCTAAACATTCTACAATATGAAATTACAGAAATGGTCCCTGGATTAATGGAATAATAACATGTTTTTAGTTCCCTGGGTTAATAACTATATTTTTGGTCCTTGTAGTTTTAAATTTCAGTAATTATAGATTTACCCAATGTAGTTTTTTTATTTCAATAATATATTTCATTCCACACAGTTTATAATTTATATCAATTAGATTTTTGGTCCCTGTAGTTGTTAATTTAAGATATGTATAATTTCAGTCCCTATACTATAGTTTGGAATATGTAGATTTAATCCCTGTGATTTTTAGTTTCGATAACTACAGTTCCAGTCCTTATAATAAATAATATGCATTAGTTACAATTTTGGTCCCTGTAATCAAGGTACCCTTACTAGATATAACTTGCATTAGTTACAATTTTGGTCCCTGTAATCAGGGTACCCCTACTAGTTATAACTTCCATTAGTTACGCGAGAGTATACTTAAGGCATGGAAAAATTCTGAAGCAGTAACAACCTGATGCTGATGCTTACAAGTGTAAAAGGTATACATATGAACGAAAAGCATGTAGATACCTAGACATAAAAGAACATAGGACGGTTTGGCACAGGCCAGGGAAAATCGATTCCTAGTGATTGTCTCTCATTGATTGTCACTCCATTTTGGAGGGTACCTTCGTAAAAACTATTGGAAGGAAATTCTGAAAGTGATGGATGCATCTGATACTGAACCTATAAAGTAGAGGTAAAAAAGGCATCTAAGGCCTAGTTCTAAAATATACTAAAAGATTTAGACTCCTAAAATAACTCAAAAAAGTTTAAAAAACTAAATATTCCAAAAACACCCTTGGGACTCTTTTTGTCCCAGAATCTGAATTAAGCCAACAGCGGAATCTAAAATTTACCAACCGAGGATCTCCGGAATGAATACATGTGCTACAGATGAGATCAACACTCTGAGATACATTAATGGTGCTAGGAAAAGAAAATCTTCTTGTGGTGAGCTGATTCTACTTTTGTAATTTTGTTATTCTTATAAACTAATATAAAATATATAAAATTATTATATACCTTGTAATTGTAATGTATTTTCCATTATAATTACAAGGTATATACTTGAGATTCAGATTGATTAAGATTTAATCCTCAGAAGAAACTTTTGAACTCCTAAAATCTTTTTTATGATTAGCAACCCTCTTCATGCAATCCGCCTTTGATCTTCCAGGAACAGCAGTTGTGAGCTTCTCCCACCTCAAGGCTGAATCTTTTGAGATAACTTTTAAAGCATTGAGCAGAGCTATGTCCTTGGCGGAGCTCCAACTTCCACCATTACTGACATGCTTCCTTCCATTCTTGATAACCTCATCAACCCTCTGGTCCACTGCCATCCTATCTTTCAAAAACTTTGAAAAAGAAGCTAAGTCACCAATTTTCATTATTGACGTGAGATTACTCTGTCATCATTAAAAATTAGGGTTTGGGAATCAGGGAATTTCGATGGTGGAATAGTGAGAGTTGGGAGGAGGTGGAAACAAAATATTAGATTTCTTTGATTAAAACAAAGTTGAAGGTAAATCATTTGATGAGGGACTGTATCTGTAAGAATAAGAAAATGAATGCGATTTTGATGGAACCCCAACTGTATCTGTAAGAATAAGAAAATGAATGCGATTTTAAAGTAGAAAATGAGAAAGTGTTAGGGAAACAAAAGTGAAACCTCGAGGTTGTCAGCAAGGCGAGGTGAGGTGAGGTACTGCGATCATCAATTGTTGCAGAGGCCAATGAGAAGTGAGAGCATTTTCGTTCATGAAAAAAACCCTCCTGCGTTTTCGTTCTTGAAAAAAACCCTCCTTTGTTTTTGTGGAATTTAGTAGTGCGCCGATATAAAAGCCCTAGTTCATGGGTGCACACTTGTAAAGGTCCAGAGCATAAAAGCCCTAGTTCTTTGTTATCGGGGACAAGAAAAACCTTAAAATCACCGGTGTTTCGAGTTTGAGGAGTCGTAGACCCCCAATCGCTGACTCCATGAAAGATATTGCGAGGTTCGATTTGTTCGGAAGGCGGGGTACTTGAATTTTTTGGGGAATTTGTTTCCCCCGTTAGTTGCATCAAAGAGGGACGTTCGTATCAAAATTTTATAAAACGACATCTCTACATGAGACCCACTTAAATTTAGGTGCCTTCCGTGTTTTTAATTTTTTTCGTTGGACATTAATTTTAGGACACGCACAAATGCTTCTCCTCTATCCTTCAAGATTTGCAAAACTGACATCATTTTTTAGGGAACACACAAATGTGTGTCCTCTATCAGCGCATGCCATTGTTTGCATGTCATTAAAGGGCTGTTTTCTAGTAGTGTGGTGATTTTCCTGAACTTGCTACTCATTCGGATGATCCACCTTGTGTAAAAGATCAACCAACAGGAGATGTGCTTGAATCCACTAAGGTTTCAAAGGATCCTCCTATCAACAACAATGCTGAAGAAATGGATGAAAATGGTAATGGTGAAGATGCAGATGATGAAGAGAAAGATAGTAAAGAAGATGATGCTATGGATGCTGAAGAAAAATATGACTTCAGCTCAGACATGGGATCCTCAAACGAGCTTATTGGTGATCCTTTTTTCCATTCTTGAGATTAAGGATATAGTTGTAGAGGTTAATTCCAAGATTGATTCGGTAAATTCTCAAGTCGGCTCGCTTGATTCCAAAATGGATCTAGTTCTCAAAGTTATTTTCGAAATCAAGTCTACCACAATCTAGATGAGATGATATCTCTTCTGTTGAAGCACTGTATGGAAGAATCTGAGGAGCGCTACAAAGAAAATCTCCAACATCACATTGATGATGTTGAACGAATGCTAAAGGTCCATGATGATATTTTCTCTTCCACAAACGAACTCATCAAGGCGATACACATTGGTCATGAAAAGTAGATTCAGAGGTTGTAGAAAGAGATAAAGGAAAAGAATGGAATAAAACTTTTTGCTTCAACATGTTCTCATCAAAGTGATTTGGTCTACCCAACATTTTGTGGACAATCCAAATTACAAATTTAACGAAGTGTTGTTAATTTTCAAGGAAAGCTTGGATGTTCTCAAGAAGCAAGCTCCCACTGCCGATGCTTAAGGTAATCTCACGAATATTGTCAATGTGATCTTTTAGAAAGTTTTTGAGAAGTTCGGATAGCTACATGAGCATATAGAGATTTCACTGAAGGTCGGGCCTTCTGATGCAATAGGGGGAGAAAGGACAAATAGCGGATGGAAATTGAGAAATCAGTTTAAACTTAGAGATAAAACCTCGTATGGAAAAGCACACAATTATGACATACAAGTCGTCAATGAAGATCAACCTCCCTCAGGAAAGCTGATTTGCGAAGAAGAGAAAGCGAAATGGCTAACATGGCCATTGATAGTTTCTGCCTCACTCAATGTTGCTGCCTTCCTAGCCACTTAACCAATGGAAATTCAATACCTTCTCAACTCATCTCCCAAATAGATGAAGGCTTTCCAATGCAAATAGAAGATGGTTTTCCCCCTCCGAAATTGGTCACTCAAAATTTGGAAGTGATAGTGACTCCTGCCACCCAACAAATCATCAATGTCTTAACTCTAGGCGCTCCTATCAAGAAAAATGCAAGGGCAAAGAGATTGACCAGATCATCCCAATGAAGTAGCTTGAACAGACCGAGTGTTGGCCTCATGAACAGATGGACAGAGGAATCTAAGAAAGTATTTTTATTCAAGAAATTAGGAACAATTTGAATCCTCTCTCCGGCATCTCTACATACTTTCCTAAAGTTCGTCTTTAATATTTTCACTATGTGTCATTTGTAAGTTACGCATTGCTAAATTCCGACTCTAAGCAGCTTGAACTTATGATATGTCCTCACAAAAAGTTTAATGAGAAGTTGCCAAGACTTCATCCATCAAATGAAATGTCTATTCAGATCAGAACCAAAATGGAACAATTATAGAACTTCAATGCCTGAAACACCCTACCAATCAAAAAAGCGTTGTCAAAGAGGAAGAATCACTTTGATTTATGGCTGTGAGATGAAGGTTCTCAACAAGTTTGGGCTGAAATGTCATCTCTATTCCTAGCACATATTTCAGAACACACTAATGAAGATTAAGATCTCGGACGTTGACTTTCCGAGATAAATCAGAATGATATTCTTGTCATTATAGCTCACTCTCAATAGAAGCAAACAATTGATCTCCCAAGAAGTACCTATCGATTTTACTTGAGCTTTATAAGAGACTATGTAGCTGAGTTTGCTCGGACCGACATTGAACTTGATGTATTGTTCAAAACCGAGAAATTTCTTCCTCATCTCAACTCGGATCTAGATGGAATTGAAAATCCTCTAGTTAGTCCTATCGGTGATCCAGAACTTGGATAATATTCAAGAGGAAAGTCTCGGATCAAAAAGAATTCTTCCAAGTTAGGAAAAATAGATTGGTTTATGCCAATGTGCTTAATATATTCATATCTAGAACTTCCAAATTGCAAGCCTTGGAAGAAGTCAAGAAGGAG